CTTGTCTCCCTTTTTTTCTATTTTAGTTTTTTTTTAATTAAGTGTATAAGGCTCTTTGCCAGAGGAACTGGTGCCTGTTTAATTTCCATCCTGAACTGGAGCAGAAAACTGGGGAAGCTGCTGCCACAAAAGGCTGTACCAGTTCCAAATGTGTATGCTTACAGATCAGTTTAATACATGCTAGTCATTTAACTAGGAAGCTAATTTTTCTTGTGTACATTTCCAAGTGTGGCTGGCAGAGCTTTGTCCATTTGGGAGGTTCCTGGTAAGTCTCCACTTTGATACTGTGATGTTTTCCCCTTCCTCCCAAATATTCATATAGACTATCCTGTGTTTTGCAGGACTGTTCTGATTTGACAGGTTCTGTAGCTGACATTCTCTAAGAAAAGGTGGTGGAACATAATTCCTTTTTATCATGCTTCAGTCCTGTAGGTTAATGGCAGAGAATTAATGCTATCTTATAACCACATCTGTGCCCTCACTCTAGCAGATCTCAGTGTGGTAACTCAATCTTCTGAGCCTGTCTCTCAGGTTCTAAACATGTTTTCTCTCTCCCTACATTCACTGCCCTAAAGAGGGTTCTGAGATTTTTTGGCAATAGTCTTGCTCTGAGATTCCAAGTGTAGCTAGCAGGCCTGTGTTCTAAAGAGCCTTATTCAATTCCGTGTAGATGTTTCCTGTCCTTAATTGTGACAGGGTTCTTTTTCATGAGTGTATTTTTTTGTATGTCATGTGTCTGTGCTGTATTAAATAAAGAGGAATGTACATATTAGCACTGTCTGTGTGGTTGTGAACTCAGCACAATAAAGACTGGACCATATACATATCTAAGATTTCTCCTATGGCCTTTATTTCTACTGGTGCACTAATTAAATTATAATTTAATCAGAGATTCACTGTCAGGTACAATGATCAATCAGTCCCCCACTGTTTGGGAAAGAATGTAGATTGCCATATCTTAAATCTGAAAAGCCTGAGGAAGAATCACAGAGTTATACAACACAAGCTGGCTAATGGCTACTCTGACAAACGTGGCAGTAAGTAAGGATGTTAAAATACATCTCATCTTACTTTTCCCTCTTCTACCTCCACCAATCAGAATAATTTTAAAATGCCCTTCACTTCCTTGAAACGGCCAGAGCTGCTTCTGGCCCGGGGAGTGGTGCTGGGCAGATGCGTTTTGTTTTCCGCTTTGCTCCACCATCTTAGCCTGTAAGCACCATCTTAGCACCACCTCATCTCGTTTTTAACCGGAAAGCCTCTGCATTAAACTGTTGCCCTGATTCCCATCAGTTTTATTCGCAGGTCGGCTACAGTGCAGAGGGGCAAGTTCTTAAATTAGAGAGCGGAAAGGTTGACCCATATTTTTTTTGAACAATTAACTCCCAACCGCAGCTGTCAGAAACTGCAAACCCAGCCCGCCTTGCCCCGCGGCAACCTGCTATCCGGGTCCATGGGGGAGCTGAGCAGCGGTGCTTGCCTTCCGGCGGTAAAACATGCTTGTCAGCTCCCACGTGGCAGGAGCAGACTCAGGCACAACCTTATGGCCTCGCCAGCTACGAGGCTTCCGCTTAGTCCGTGGCCTCCCCAGTTTAACAAAGGGGCCAGGTCCTAAGGCTACGCACAGCCCCTAGCGCTTACGGGCTTCGAGTAAACTACATCTCCCAGGGTTCTGTGCGGGGAGCGCTGCCAATCACAGAAGCCAGAGGGTTGCGCGCACTGCTTCCGGGCTAAATTGACGGCGAATGCAGGTAAATTGACCAATCACCATTCGTTAAAAGGAGACGGCAGTGGGATCTAGAGAGAAGTAAATGAATGAAGCAGTTTGTTTTGCGGTAGCCCCAGTGGCCTAATGGATAAGGCATTGGCCTCCTAAGCCAGGGATTGTGGGTTCGAGTCCCATCTGGGGTGGTGGTGTTTTTTTTTTTTTTTTTTTTCTACCTCTTTTTTTC